CTATAGTATAAACATTTTAAATTAGGGTTTTTGAAAACCTATTAAAATTTAGTGTTAATGTTATAATATTCAGTGGAAATGTAATTCGATGTTTATATAATAGCAGATATGATTCTCTCTATTTTTTGTATCATCGTTCGATATCGAATTATTCTACTTAAATATTTTTTATAATTTTGAAGTTCTGTTGGATCAAGAGTTAACTTTTAGTTTATTTTTTTTGAAAATGCCATTTTTTCCAAAACATTTCAATTGTTTTTCATATTGATATTGATCACAATTAAAATCTTATCAAATGGATTTATGATTCCTTAAAATGAATGAAAAGTAGCTCATTTTTCTATAGTATTGTAATATTTTACCACTGGTTTTATTTACATAAAGAGTATTGTAGGCTCGTAAGATATTGTTAAAATGAATAGAAGGTTTTTTTTTTTTTTTCAAAAAAAGATATTGTTAGAGATATTTTTATAATTATAATAATTGGTTGGGAAGATGGTTATGTCACATTATTTATCTTCCCCTCCAAGTTTTTCATAGCTCCATGCCACGATAACATTTAATTTCTCTCTCTTTCTACACAATAATGTGTTTCGTAAGCTTTTCGACCTAATCTGGCATTACTACAATACTACTCCATCATGATAGTTATTATTTCATCTATGATTTTCTTCTAAGATGTCATTTTTTGTTTTATGTAAGAAATTATATGGTTCATTGTAAGAAATTATATGGTTCATTCTTCACTCTCAATGTTTTGTTATGATTCCGTAGAGAAAGTTATAAAAGGTCTAAACTAATATATAAGAAATATGTGAATTTATTCACATAATGTAATTAATGCTGAATTAGAAATTCATAAACATAATATGGTATCTTAACACAATTTGTTTATTTAAATAGAGTGGAAAAATAAGATTTAATTCTTGGTCTAAATTCAATTATGAATGGATCGATAAAACCCATTAGTTTGAAGAGCTTGGTATATATCTCTTCAATTCAAAAAAAAGAAGAGCTTGGTATCTCATCGAAAAAAAAAACTCATGTGACGAACGTGAAACTTTGAGTGTTTATCACTT